CAGCTCCAGACCCTCAAGAGTGGTTCCAGGGGAGACTCCAGCCAGCTCAGTGCTGCAAGCGTGCGCATACTTATTACTAAAATTAATTGCTCTAATGCCAAAGAACAGATGGAATAAGGCATGAGGGAGAAAGAGGAGGGATTATGTGTGTAGATTTGGTTCAGGTTTGCATGCTGGTTCTCTCAGCTTGAAGAGCTCTGCAAGCCCATGTGGCTGCTGTCCGTGTTTAGCCAAATGCATGCTGTGTTGGATGGTGGCAGTGAAATGGTTAAGATGCCGTGGCTGAGCTGCTTTGGATATGCAGTGTAGGATGTAACGGGGACCCTTCAAACTGGGACTGATCATAGCAGCCGGCTTACGTGGACAAAGTCAGTGGGGAGACTTTAATTTCACCCGTGCTCAGGAATGGAAAAGAAATGAAAGCTGGCACATGATTCTGTTTCCACTTATGAAGCACCCATCTGCCTTTTTAAAATTCAATTGATGGGAATGGTGAGTAAGGCTGGACCAGTTCGCAGCTATTAGATCCATGCCATTAACATCCCAGCCGCTTCATTTTATCAATAGCGTGCACTGAGCGAGGAACATCTCTCATGCAGGATTGGCAGAAATTGATATTAATAAGTGGATCTAATATTCTTAAATTTGTATTCCTTTCCAAGACTCGCAGCGACCCCAGAGGGCAGAGGAAATAATAAGTAAAGGCCTAATTCATTATTTATAACCAGGCAAACCGGGGAAGTAACTCGGGGAGATTACCTGGATAATCCAGCATTAGCATCTTGTTTCAGAGATCTTTATTAGGACTCAGGAGGGGCTCCTGGGAGAGCAGAGGCAGTACAGTAAATTCATATGCTAGCCTTTGACCCTGTCTAGTGCCCTGGCCTTATAATTTACTTTGGGATGCGCGTGACTCTTAACAGCAAGATAAACACAGTTGGCTGAAGAGAGAGCGAAGGAAGCTGGAGAGGCAGTACCATCTTAAGGGACTTGGAATGGATTTCAGAGCAGTTAGGAACGCTGCCTTGGGTACAGCCGTGTACCACGGTTGTCCAGCTGCTGTCTCCCCTCTTTCCTTGTTTATGGGGCCAACATGCATTTGTGAAGACACCACATAGTCTTTTAGACTCGTTTTTTTTAGAATGGAAATAATAACAGCACCTCCCAGAGATTGGGCTCGTGAGGTTAATGAGGTGTGATGCTTTGAGGTGAAAACAGGTTAGGTCCTGCAGACCACTCCTGCATCTTTCTCGGCGCAGGGACAATGTAGGCCTTTGGAGAAGCTACTACTGTACTGTCCTGTGCACTGCTTGCTTTTTGCATGCTGTGTGGATGGTGTTGCAGAAGGAGGGAAGGTAAGGGGATGTTTCATGACCAACTGCTGAGCCTCAGGTTGAGAAATATTGTCCTCATTAGTTTTTGATTTCTTGAAGAGGTTTTGAATGGTCTCAGGTTGCAGGAATAAAACCAGCCAGGAGGTCAAAACTGAGGTTTTGCAGGAAGATATACAAGAGTACTGTGGGACAGAGGCGGAGATGCTCTGTCTGAGATTCCCTGCCCAGTTTTGCAGATGTGAAATGTTTGAATAAGTTATAGTGCAAGAACTTCATGCATATTTAGTCTGGATATTGCCTTCAACTCATTCTGCTTTGCTGAGCAGTCCTTTATTGCATAATGGAGCTTGCTTCTGTGTGCTAATGGTAAGGAGGAGGGCAATACACTTCTTGGAAGATTCATGGGGACTCCCTTGGATGGCTTTTTGGTTAGGACTGTTATTCATCCTAACCCTTTGCAAAGATAAGTGGCCTGGGCTTGGTTCAGGTACATGAGCAGACAGTTCACGTGAGATCAGAGCAGGCTGCTAGCAGTTCATTGAGCAGCAGTGCAACTGCTTTGCATTTATATTGTACCTTCCCTCTGAGGATCTTGGCATTTCCAAATATGAACTGATGCCCATTAGGCATTTTCCAGATAGGCACTGTCTACAATCAGCCCATTTCAGGGGAGGAAGGCTGGGATGGAGAGGTTTAACGGTTCTGTAACAGTTCTGTGGCAGTGCTGGCAATGAAGCCTCCAGATGCCAGTCCCTGGTTCTCATACAGCCTTCTCTGTTTCTTTTCCATCTGATTCATCCATCCCTAATACAAAGCAGATCAGATCACCTGCCATGTCTGCATACACAAATCTCCTTTAAACAATAGCTGTCGGTGGGCCTTTTTGTACGTGTGGAAGAAAGAGAGTGCTACCATCTGGGATCTCATATCACTGCTTCTGGAGATATGTGGTACAGGATGTTTCCAATTATAAGCGAGCTGGAGGCCTGCAGCCTAACAAAAGCAGGTGGAACCTGATCAGCAGCAATGAACAGTTTAAGAAAGGAGAGTTTGCAGGATTATTAACCCCCCTGAAATATTCTGCCTTCCGAAAGGGAAAATAATCATGTCCATAACTGAAATAATTAACAGAAAAACAATTTGCAACACCTAATTAAATGAAAAAGAATATGCTAATGCAAAGTTAAGGCTGCACGAAGGCTTCTGCTCCAGTGCATGCTAAGTATGCAATTTTAACTTTGTTAAATCAAAGCCAACTTTCTTCCAATTTAGGACAGCGCAGACTCCTCATTGACAGCCCATGTGCCAAATTTCAAGCACCAGCCATGCTTTCTGGCTAGAGGATTCTTTCATTGTTGTTCCCCCCTGCCCTAAAATATGTTTTCCATCATCTGTAACTCACGAGCAGCTGAAATGCTGTTTTTGAGATGATTCAGAACAGCCTTTAGCTCTGGCAAAGCATTAGCTCGGGAGGCAGTTTTTCAAAAGGATATTGCAGAGGGCTGGGAAGGAGAAGCGTGCCCTAGCCATGCCTGCTGAGGGTGCTGGCAGCTCCTCATGCGCTGAGTTGATCGTCACGTGAACTGCATTATTGCTACACATCGTGCCTGAAATCTGTGGGCGCTCAGCTGCTGCCAGAGCAGCACTGTGATTCCAGATATACCTGCACCAAGCAGTGCCTAAATTGGTGGGTGTTGATATTGCTGTGCACCAGCTCTGTGCCACTTCCTCTGGCCCAGCTGGCCCACATGCTACGGTAGCACTGTTCATTGCAGCTGAGGCTGAAGTCCAAGAAGAACTCAGCCCTTCCCCTGAAAGGCTGACATGTGCTAAAAGGTAGGGGATGAAGCCTAACACCTTTCCTGGGGCTTCAAAATGCTGCGTTGTCTGTGAGCTGGCTCTCTGCTCAGACATGCTGAGATGTGCATGGGCCAGCTCTGTGGTAGTGGAGGGCAAATGAGGCAGGCAGGTGTAGGGATGTCCTGTAACACATCCATAGGTCCATATCTGGTTATTAAATTAGGCCAAATTTAATTTTAAAGGTGATAATGAGGTCATGCATGCAAAGAGCAGGAAGAGGTGCTGCTTGCCACTCAAGCTGAAGTCACAAGCTCCACAAGCTGACAGAAGGAAAAGACAGGAGAACTTTTTAGAGCTGTTTTTCGTATCTTCTCTTCTGGGCTTCCTTTCCAGGGGCATTTTTCTGAGCAGTGGATTGGCTGTGTGTGTTTTTTTGTCACTGACCTACAAATGTCACTTAGTGACATGGAAAATGTCTTAATGATCCTTATTGGGCAGGGAGCATCTTTCGAGGACTTGCTTGCCTTGGGATAAAAACTCAGTGGGGTTCAGATTTGCTTGCTCAGCAGTGAGGAGATGCCATTCGGCACAGGAGCATTTCTATGCAAACAGATCTCTGTTGCCAAAGTGTGCCCTGTTGTGAGTTAATAATATTTTAATCTGGATACACCTCCCTACGTTTGCAGTGGGTGACAGCTCACACAATAGCTACATTTTCCTGGAAAATGCTATTCAGTACAGCCAGGAAACCATGCTCTGGACCCGTCACTGTTTGCTTTGAGAGATGGTTCAGGCCTTTAAACTGGTTCCTGATGTTGCAGATCTCTGTTCATAGTCGCAGCAGCATTCCTTATGTCTGCTACCCTTTAATGCCTGGAATTAGCTGCCAAACAACTTGATTTAGGGTTGGGATGTGGGAGTACGGGTGTTTGGTGAGGAAGGGCTGAAGAGACAGTGTGAGTGGAGGGCTGGGCATCTTCCAGAATAAGCACAAACCACTCCTCTGCTGTTCACAACACCCGTACTGCCTTCACAAGCTGGGGACCGTGGGAGAAAAGTCACACCAGTGTGGGAAGAGGAGTGTGAGGTTCTCATGAAGCTCTGTGCGTTCTTCTTTGAGAAGGTTGGGAGAGAAATCCCCACTGTGGTCTTAGATAGAGAGATTTTCAAGGGAGAGTGCAGCGACGGGGGGAAGAGAACACATGCGACTGCGAGGGAGTTTTTTTTTTGTTTGTTTGTTTGTAACAGCTCATTTGAGTCAATGTGACCCAAAACAGAAGGCTCTGGCTCTAACACAAAATGGCTTATTCCCATGCTGCCAAAATGCATCCTTTTGCTGATGCTATCTACTGCTTCATGGCTCTTTTAAAGGCTGAAATGACAGAGAATTCTCTCCCACTGTATATGATTGCTAGGATGGCAGGCTGTTTGGTAGGCCTGAGCATCATAAGCACAGGTGCTTAGGTAAATATTGCCTCTTCCTTGTCTCAATCAATACCCATGCTGATCGCTTTGCAAATTGGTGTGCCTTGATGAGAGGAGAGGGTGCAGTTAGCTGTTTCACAGTCATTCTGGAATATCATTGTTTTTCTGATTGTTTTGTTTTTATGGGACTCTGGCCCGTATTCTGCTAATAACCCTGAAATTTTAAATTGTTAAATATAGTTGGCCAAATTCTTCCTTGGAGATGCCCATGTAGTTCCCATGGCATTGCTGAGAAACAAGAATGCGTTTCTGAGGACAAGCTTAAACCCGACAGAGCCATTTCACTCCAGGCATAACACTGTTCAAAGTCAATAGAAGCATGATGTGAGCACATTGTCTTTATATTTTTACAAGTGCTTTTCTATATTCCTTTATTTCCAGGCTAGAATCCAAAAATGCAAATGCCAAAACTGCTGTTTTCTTCTTAACCCTTCTTATCAGCTTGGGGAGTAAAGCCTGGTGACAGCGGTTGTCACACTGGCAAGATGGGTTTGTGTTCAGGACAGAGCAAGTTGAAGAAAGCAAAAGGTAAGAAAACTGGCTTGGATTTGTAGAGAAGCCTTAATGCGCTCCTCCTGAAGTTGGCTTATTTGCTTGACTTCCATAACAGCAGAGTGAAGCCAGAGTGGAGTGCTTAGCAGAATCTCGCTGTGCTCTGTTTTTGAGCGGTTAAAACCAGTTCCCTCCCAGGTTAGCTGTCAGAGTTAAGCTGTAAGTACTGGTATCCCCATTCACTTGGCTAAAAACAAAAAGTGTCTGCTTTTCACAGTGTTTAACACAAGATTAGCAAGATTGGGCTGATATAAATAAGAAGTTCTGCAAGTAGAGACACAAAGTAGTGCTTGTCTGCTCCAGTTAGCCTGGGAGATAGCTAGGCTGAGTCGCAGTGACTGTGCTGACAGTTCCACCCTCCAAACACAGTCTGCATTGCTGAGTTCTCACTGGTCTCTCTTGTCTGGGTGTACTCAGGGCTTTTTGCATAGTTCTTCGTGCTGAGATGTTGTGAGAGCTTTCTGTGGCCACTTGTAAGACAATTTCTGCGTCTCTTAGGGAAGCCATAAAAAGGCTTTGGAAGGCTACCAGGATGGAAGCAACTGGGATGGGAGGAAGCAGGGTATGGCTTCTCACACCCACGATAAAAATATGTCCAGACTTGGGCTGAGAGCTGTCTGCGTAGATGATAGGGGCATTTTATGCTGACTCCCAGATCAGGCAGAATCCTGCATACATGCATGTGTGGGTTTTTTTTCTTTCTTTTGATTCCACTGAGGTATATTGGGAGCTATATTGGGAAAGCATTCTGGTGCCTGTGTGGTTCTGCTGTAAGAGCTGCGTAAGACGAGCGAGCCTGAGATAAGTTGGTGCACTTGGGTATGTACAAAGTGTCTGGGCCTGTGCAGCAAGCCCTATTCTTGGCCATTAAAAAGTACTCTTGGCATATTCAGCTGTCTCCCCAGCTACTGGCAAGGTGACAGGAAAATTGGCCAGGCAGATTGCCAACTGGCTTGGTGGCAACATTTATTTAAGACTAATATTCCCTGTCAGGTTTATGTAGAAGCTAGAAATATCTACTTCCTGGGCTCTCCTCATCCACTTCTCACTGTTTTGCTGCCTCTCTATGTCCTATTTTCTGTTCATTTAAGGCAACCTTTGGCTATGGTGATTGTAACCTGCAGTGCCAAAAGGCACGTGAAAGCACCTTACTCAGCATTCAGACTGATTCACATAGCACAGGCCTTGCCCAAGGGGTGTCCCAGTCCCCCTGTGCTGAGGGGCTGCCCATACTTGGACGCCAACAAGAGAGAAACATGAAGCTGAGTTCTGTAGTTCAGCTTTTGAATGTGCAGCTTACAGGGCCGTGTGGCTGCGTAGGTCCACTGTGCCTCCAGAAAGCTTTGGACAGAGAGCTCACAGCCTGTGTTAATTGTAGGACCGACGCAGCAGGAGGATGCACTGAGGCTCTCTTTCTGTAAAATCACCAACTTTTTGTTTTTCCTACCTTCAGAGGTTTCCTAGGTGAGGGGTGCATTCCCACAGGAAGCGTGTCAGGCTTCTGACAATGGGCTGCTGAGAGTAGTCAGGATTAGTGCCTGGGCCCTCAGGGACATGGGGACTCTGGGCTGAAGCCCTCCTCTGTGAGCTGTCCTGGGGCAGGCGGTGTCCTACTGAAGCTGTGGTGCTGCTGTGCTTGTCCCATGCAATTTCCATATTATTCAGCCTAAAGGCCTTCACAAAAATGCCAGAGCTGCTCCTGCAACCTCTTTGCAGCGCATCCCAGAGCTCCACAATCTAATATTAATTACATCGAGGCTCTATATTAAAGCAGAGATTTACCAAGTTACCATAGGGGTTTCAGTGCTGGATTCATATTAATTTAAAGAGGAACTGAATATTCCCTCAAGCAGCATTGGAAATCTTAACCTCATAAAAACAGAAAGATAGGAGTTTTGCTGAATATGCCCTGCCCTGCTGGGAAGCCGTCCTCTACTCGGCTGTGTGAAGTGTGAACCACTAAGAAGGGCTGTCCACATTGCTTACTGTTTACTTAGTCCTTTTTCTTCTCTCTTGCCCTCTCCACATTTAGACTCATCTTCTTTGCCTTTCTGCAGAAACCCTAAAGAGTTTTGGCACCTCCATATGCAGAGCCTGATTCACTCACCTGGCTTAGCCCAGTAGTTTGTGCTGCTGCCAGCGGTCCTCTTGCACCCTGGTCTCTCATATCACCTCTTGGCCTTTGCAGCTTGGGAGGACCTGGCTGTCAGTCTCATATCTAAGCAGTGAGGTGGCTTTTTTAGGGCTTTCCCCAGGCCCTGCTCTTGCCCCTGGGCCCAGTGCTGTGGGGACAGGACCTGGAGATTTGGTCATTACTCAGCTTGGGACTCCAGTAGTGTTTACCCGTAGGGGAAAGCTGGTCCTTGCTGCTCCATAGCTCTCCTTAGAGAGCTTCAGATTGGAGAAGTCTGTTTCTCAAGTTAAATACAGAATAAAGCCACTTAAAGCTTAGTTTCACCCTTAGACTGGGGTCTTCTTCGTGTTGGTGTGCAGCTGGCCTGGTGAGCATGCAAATGGCCCAGAAGGCAGTGGCCACTGCCTGTATTCCTGAGCTGCACAGTGTTGGTGGCAATTCCAAGCTGCACTAAATTCCATTTCACTTATATCTACAAAAGCTGATGCAGTCAAATAAAGCTGTTCTGACAGCAACATTTAATAACCCTGCTGCTTGCAAAACCACAGACTCGCTGACAATGGATGTTTTTTTAGAAAGCTGAATTTTTACTGTCTTAGAACTAGATTTACAACCCAACCATCATTGAGTACCTGTGTACACAGCCGACTACAAAAGGCAGCGAGGGAGAGCAGGGAGGGGAGAACTGTTGCCCGTTCCAACAGACCAGCAGGAAAAGGCAGCAGCTTTTGTACATCTTGGCACACTGAGGTCCACATGTCGTTAACTCTGTGCTGGGCGTGAGGAGGGGAGCGGTGAGGGGAAGCTGCTGCTGCAGGACATCTCTCACAGCCCTTCTGCTTCCTCTGCTGTGGGAAGAAGGACAGGATACATGTTGCAGCACGTGGAGCTGTGCAAAGTCCAACAGGCTCTTCACAGCACCTTGCTCTGTCCCTACAACAGCCTCAACCCCTGCGACGTGGACTTCAGTGAGGAGGGTGGAAATGGCCAGTAGGGGGGCTATTTTTATGATGGGATCTAAGTCCCTAAGGTGCCTTAGGCATCGGAGTCACTTGAGAGGATCACAGTGCATTAGGGCCCATTGCTGGGCTAATAGAGATCTGCATCTCATTCCTCCCCTGTGATTTTAGGAAACTAGTAGCAGGGAGGAATTTTGGTGCTCATTGCCTTGTTTCTCTTCTCTCTTCTGTTTTAGGCTGGGTATAGCCACCCTCATTCCTGCCTGAACAGATTAGGTGCTGTCACCACACAGTTGCATCCCTCCCTCGAGGTGTCTGTTTCAGTGATTCACGCCAGCCCAGAGGACTGCGTGCTTCTCATCTCATCAATTTGATGGAAGGAGGCAGTTGAACTCGTTGTTCATAGGATTACGAGGATGCCTGTCACAGCCTGCGTGGCAGAAAGCTGTATTTGTAATTAATACCTGCACCAATGGCCTACCAGTTAGTCATCTCTCATTATTGTACGGGGATTCTCTTCTGCAGATTCGATGGCTGTGGTGGCCAGCAGCCACTCGATGGGCAGCAGCTGTCCTTCCAGCTCCTGGGCTCAGCAATGTGCTAGGTGAGCTGCACTCCAAGGAAGCGTTCCTCCTGTGCTGAATGAGCGACCACTGCTCCTTAGCCCCCACTGCATTGCATTCAGGGTTCTCCTGTGTGTGACTGCAGCCTAGGGCTCAGGAGCTTCATGCCATTCTAACAGGAGGCTGTGGTTGGGGGGGGTAGGCTCTCCTCAGTGGATTTTTTCAGGCCTTGTAAGCAATGTGTCATCACAGCAGTTCAGTACACACCTCGGCCTGCTTGGCATCCTCTTGCTTTGAGAGGGCTTCTCTTCTCCCAGTCACTTCTATGGCTCCTCCTTATGTTGGGCTTTGGCTTAAACTGAGGGAAGCACTTTCTGTGGGCTTTTGAAAAGCGTTTGCTGCTCTGGGATTTCAGGGGAGCTCAGCAATGTGGAGATGGGATGTGAGGCCTAACATGGAGTTCTAGGGCAAATCTTCCATAGGAATAGCCTTGAGGAAAGCATTTGCCAGTTAGTCCAGTCAGAATCACTCCAGAAGCTGAAGGCTCTAGTCATGACAGACGAGTGAGGGACAGCATTTACGTTGCCTGGGGACTACGGAGAGGAGGAAAAGCACAGCCAAACTTCCTGCAGGGCAGGATGGCAGCTTGACAACAGGTTTACAACAAGGTTCTTGTCGCAGTCTCAGACATGTCACCATTCTCAACCAACCCCTCTGTGCTTGTTTTCCCATCTCCCTCTCCTCTCCATTTAGACTGAGTACTTGAGGACAGCAGTCTTGTCTTTCTATTTTGAAAACACTTAATACATTCTTGGTGCTGAGTAAATTACTGCTATTGTTGCGTTAATTAGCTCAGGGCCCCCTTGCATGCGCAAGACCAGATCATTATAACAGTTGGTTGATAGAGCAGTAGCACATTAATTTGGGCTCTCCAGCAAAGCTGTGGGCCTGCTGTGCCAGAGGCTGCGGGCAGGCAGGAGGGCTATGGTTGGAGGTGACTGTCAGGGAAAGGGCTGATGGCAGCAAGAGCTCCTTCCCCCTTGCCTGGGGTCGATTGGCCAGTGTGAGGGAGCTCCAAACCCACATCTGTGTGCCCAGAGAGGCGGTGGGCTCACTTCCCCTGGAGCTACTCAAAAAACACATAGATGTGGTACTTAGGGATGCGGTTCAGTGAGCAGTACTGGTGGTAGGTGCAGGCTTGTACAAGATGGTCTTACAGGTCTTTTCTAACCTTAGTGATTCTCTGAGTGCACAGTTCAGTCTGAAGGATTGACATGACTTGCCTGAGATGGCAAGGGAGTAAGCCCAAAGAATTTTGTT